AAACTTTTATATACATATATATATTTATATATATTTATATTATATAAAATTATTGTCGTAAATATGAATTAGCAAACTTTTCTACTATATATAATATCTCACTTTGCATTATTTTTATTTTACTAGGATCGATTTTCACAAGTTCTTCACTCTTTTCACTTAATATTTTAATAAAATTCATTTTCAGTAACACAACCAGTTATTAGCTGGCGATATTACGAGCAACAAGATAATAACGAGATCTACGAAGAGCGAGACTACAATGCAATTTGTCATTCGTTTAAAGATGCCTTTTTATATGCAGCACTCTGCGGCAGCAAAAATATCACGTAATGCAAATTTTTCATAATTGCTTCCGCTGTATTTATTGCGCATGAAAAGGAATAACAGCAATATCATATGTATTAAAGTTTAACCTCAAACATGTGTCTTTTATTTGCTTAGCTCGAAAATTAATATGGAAAACTTAAAAAAATAGAAAGTTGTGATATGATAACTATCATTTCAGATAATTATTTAATAGCGTTTTCTCTTGGATGTACTATCGCCCACCAGTGTATGTACTGTTTTCATGTCTGGTAAGCGAACTCATTCGGTGTATCATGTTTCCATGATTACGGTGTAGTGCAAATTTTATGCACAAAGTGGGATTTTATTACATCGTCTCAAAGGGACGATATAGAGCCATTTAAGGTGACATTTAAGGCCGCAGCACAGACTTTTGCATAAAACATAATGCATAGTGCATAAGGGAATCAAACAATCGAAATTCTTCTTTTCTATGGAATGGGAGGAAAGGAAAAATTCTGATTAGTTGATTCGCTTATACGTCTGTGCTGCGGCCATTAAAATTTGAAAATGAAAGTCAAGCGGGATCATTTTAGCACAATAATTATGTAATGTATACTGTGGTGTGCATTTAGCTGAGTGTAGCGCTTACACGCAACTGGTGCGGTGCGAGGCTGCACCCAATACTATATATCTCAAGAGAAAACGCTATTAGAATTTAGAATATTCCCATTACTACAATCTTAATAAAAATGTATGTACTCATTGTATATGTATTTAATTTTCACATTTTTTGCAAATATTGCAAATTTCTAAGCTTTCTAAGTTTCAAATTCTTTACTACTCATTATTCATTTGGTTGAACTTCAATGAGATGCGGCAAAATGTATTTTGCGTCGTAAGTGCGTCATCTCAAAATGGTAAAATTTTTAACCAATAGCAACGAATTGCTGCAGCGTGTTGCGTATGAAGTCAGCTTTATGACAGTACTGCGAGCAGAGCATCCTAAGCAGGACTTCTGAGATAACTGCGCAAATGGTATACATTTCTGCGTAAACGAACGAGAAACTGTGCTACAGTCGCCCAGGTAGAATAGACGAACGATAACTGCATAAATGAATATACCTGAATGTTTTCTTTCAAATTAATAGTGAGGACATTTAATGGCGAAGCCAATCAGCATTAGGCAGTAATTCTCTTTATATCCACTCTACGATGAGGGAGCATTTATATTGGCCATAACCGTATGTCGTATGCTATAATCTGTAAGAATTGCATAGACTATAAAATAGACGGAGCCTTTATACGAGAGAAACTGAAGACAACATCGAAGACAGACATAGTTGTTTCTCTCTTTTACAGTGAGCGGTGGGGGGCCAATCAGCTTGAGCCTCGTAAGCCACAACTCTCGAACATCTATCTTCGTTGCTCTCGGCCACTTCTCAGCTTGCCGCGGTGACCAATCAATTCACCACTAAGAAAGAAGAAAACTACTCCGCGATTATTTCTTTCTCTTTCTATCAAGTTTTCTTTAGCTTCTCTCTCTCGTATACTCGAATGCTCCGTCTATCTTATAAATCTATGAAGAATTGAGAAAATTCATTGAATTAGCATTTGGAGCCAAAATGACGGCAGTTCGCGGTACTTTGTTAATCTAGTGACTTTACGTCGCTCGTAACACACCTGGTGTCGTTTGTTGAAAAGCTCTCTGAATCTACCCTGATAAACCAATCAGCGCATGCTCTGCTTTTCCTGGTCGATGTTGCTTGAGAATATATTTCTCCTTCTTTAAACCTCTAGATCTCCTAGTCTGTCCGTTTCCGTCCGGTCGGAGTTTCTTGTCATCCATAGCGGCTCCAGTTCGCCGGTTCCTGTGGATCGAGTCCGTGGACATACTTTGTGCCGCGCCGAGCTCCCGAGACACCTTGTTTCGTCGCTCCGCGCGACAGTCTCATCGTACCAAGTACAAATCCCCGACATTCAGGCTGTTGGAAATTGATTAGACATACTGTGCTTCTGTGTCATTCAAGTCCAGCACAGCTTTTCCTGCCGACCCGGAACGACATACACTAAAATGTACAACGGATACTCGCAAGTTCACAGCAAGTATGTCTATCGATCAACCGATGTCCTTGATGACGTTCTAGATTAATTTGTTATCTAAAAACGTGGAAGGGCTGGCTTTGCTACGAGTGCAAACTCGATCTTTCTCTGCTCAGCAGCCGCCATTTTAGCCAAAGCTTGTGGTTGCTCCATTTTCTATTAAATTATCCGACGGATATTTGTGAATTCTGTGCCCGGCGGATTTTACCTAATAACTACTGAAAAAACAATTATAGAAATACATGATTGTTTTAGGAATTAGATACATATGATACCAAGATGGTATCATGAGAGTCAAATGTGACCAAGCCAGATATTTTTTTTTTTATTAGACTCATTTTTACTGACAAAGACATTATAAAACCATCTCTCGATTTTGAAGGGGATGTGCAGGTAGATCAGTTATTGAAAAATAATATACAGTTTGTCGTTAAAGATAAGAACCCATGCGGTTCAACCAGTATAATTAGTTTTCATATACCCTGATATTTAAATAATTATTATATATATATATTTCATATATATTATATATATTATATATATATAACTTATATATTTTTAACATACACTGTATTTAAATATATAAGCAATAGTTGAGATACCTTGACACATTTAAATAATTAAATATACAGAGTGTTTGATAAGTACGATAAATTTCTCGCATAGGAATAGACTATTGTGAAAATTGTAAAATGATAAAGGACTTTTCGACTCACGTCAATGTAGTCCGCCCTATGCAAGAGTTTTATCACCATTCGAACATGCACTGCATTTAAATATATAAGCATTGTAGTATTAAAATACAATTTTATGCAGCGAAGCTTCGCTGGCGAAATTCCCTTATTCCGCCAAATACGAAACCAGCAATTCATGCTTTTCGCCTTCTTACCTTTACATTGACGAAGTTACTTCCACTATGTCGTGAGTAAAGGAGCATTGAACAGACAATTAAAAAATTGATCAATCAAAAAATGCTTCGAAGGATTTGGCCAATCAAATAAATCATAGCCAGAGTTCATTACAGCGTTGCTTCGCTCGTAATTGGACAATGTCGAACTTTGAGCGAAACTTCGCTCCCTACGCATTTTCGCACGAATCGACGGAGTGGGGAGTCTTCACTAGCGAAGCTTGCTCATGTACCTTTAGAATAACTCTTGAAGTAGCCCTACTCAAATTAGTCTTGAAATTAATTAGTCTTGAATAGAGCTTGTGGCCCTGAATAAGGATGTGTCCCATGACAGTCGGAATTTCGGAAAACGGAATTTTGGGAAAGTAATAGAATGGGGATCAACCAATCAGAATTATTGCATTACTGTCCGTCTGCACATGTTACTTGTATTTACTACATTAAATACGCATGATTATCGAAATGAATTTTTATAAATATATAAAAAAGAAATTCATTATTAATAAATAATTGTTATATAATGGGATAAGAATTTATTAATATATAAGTATTCATTTCTCTCTCTCTCTC